GGGCTCAGCAAACCACGGAGCTGGCCGGGCCGTGTCCCTGCGTGAACTCCCGATTCCACAAGCTGTGTTTGTTGGGAGCCCGGCTTTGCAGCACGGATGGGTTTTCCTGTGCCCTATGGCTCGACCTGAGGTTTTGCTCACTGGGAAAGAGAAGGATCTGGACCAGAGCTGCTCCGGGCTGTTGGGTGGCCTCAGCACTGAGTGCTGTCCCAGGCACAAACTCCAACATTTCTGCTTTTATTCTCTAAACTTCTAGGTTAAAGTGTAGTTCAGACCACTGTACATGTCTCTTATCTCTCTGTAGCAATTTCTAAGGTAAATATTACATAATGGCAAAGATAACGTTATCACATGATTGAGAAGAAAGAAAAGATAACTTGGTATTTTAAAGTGATTGGGTCCTGGTCTCTTTACAACTCAGGCTGTAATTCTAGTGATGAAATCAGCTCTGTTTTGCTCATTTTGAATGACTCGTGCTCTAGCAGGGACAGGGAAACGGAGGTTTTGGGAGTCCTGGGGCTTGTCCTAGACACAGAATGAGCAAAAAACCAAACGCAGGAGCCTGCAGTCCCCGAGAGGGCTGTGATGGCAGCAGGGCCTGCCTGCACGCTGTGCCGAAACCAGGTCACCCTTAATTACAGCGCCTCTTTGCTCCTTTTCTCCTCTTAGTGTGCTTCGCTGCTCACATTTCTGCATGCTGAGCTGCTCCAAGTAATGCATTTTCCCACTCAGCCTTGTCCAGACGGAGAAGACGGCGGCTGGGATTCCTCCAGCCCCATTCCCTCCCGGGCCTCGGCCATTCCCAGCGGGAAGGAGGGATGGCGGGACCCGGCTTTGCAGGGCCAAGCCATAAGGCTAATGTCGTCTTGCAGAACGGCCCCAAAAGCTGCCCAACCTGGACCCAAAAGATAGGGAAAAGCATGAGCCGGGTATTACACAGAACAGAGAAAGCTCCTGAGCAGAGGCCGGGCCCAGGGCTGCAGCTGCTTCAATCCCCCTCCGCTCCCGCACGGGCTGCAGGGGTGGCCCGCTGTGATCATTAGATGCAATAGCTCATAAATTACTTTTTGCAAAACTCCTGCTGGTGCTAATGCGTTTCCCCTCTTGCACTGATGGATGGGGCCCCCAGTGGGGAGGATCAGAATGAGGGCCCTTTCCCGGGTGTTTTCCAGGCGGGATGGGTTTCACACCTGGGAGCACTGGACAGGAATGTGGCCATCATAGAGGACCACTAATGGGAGGCCATCATGGGACTTTTTGTCCCCTTTGGTATTTTAACGCCCCACAGAACTCTTCCTTTCCCTTTTGGAGGGCTTCCTTCTGTAATGTCTTGTGGGGAAAGTTTATTCCTTTCCCAGTCCACAAACAGAGGTGGATAAAGGGGCTCCAAGGGCAGAGAGATCAGTTCGGGCCACAACAGGGATGTTTTTATAAATGCTGCAGCGTTGGCTTGGTGCTAAAAGTGAAGAAGAAAAAAAGGAGAAAGAAAAATATCCAAAGCCCACAGCAGAACCTGGCGTAAATCAGACTTCACCTTGCGGTTTTATAATGATGCAAGCCTGGGTTAGACTAGATCTGAGTGAATTTACCTGACACGCAGCCAAATTCCTTGCTGACTTTCATGTTGATTTTTAGCGGATATGTGTTCACTAAGGGCTGCTGCTCTAGAAACCCTTTTTCAAGGATTTCTAAAGCTGCAGGTAGGGGAGGCAGGGGGATTTTTGGTGGATTTCCCCACTGCTGCACTAGCCACGCCGCCTGTTACAATAGAGGATCCTTATCAGTGGATTCCAGTGGGCTTAGATCTCTGTCCCTTGACATTTCCATAAAAAAGGGCTTCCTGTGCTGCTCTAGAACAAAAGCATACCTAAGCCTATGTATCAGTGACAGCACCAAAAACTGCAGAAAAGAATTTGTCTGGTAGAAACAGAAAGCGAAGCTACCCCAGACTTCATCTCCTTTCATCCCTGCGAGAGCCTCGGGAAGCATCCTTAGGAGTGGGTTGGAGTATTAAGCATGTGCTTAATATTAAACATGTCCTCGAGCGGGTGGGCTAAGCCCCCTCAGCAGGACCTGGGCTCTCCTGCGTGCATTGGGTGCAAACCCAGCGTGCTGCGGGGACCAGGGTTGTCTCTTGCTGTCGCCTATTCTGCAATCTCTGGCCTGAGCCTGAACAGGATCCTCTCTGTTTACTCTGACATTGAAATTACAGCAGTTTAGTTAATCTCATCTACACCTTGTTTATCTTCCCCGTGGGCCCTGCTGGCCGGTTTCGGATCGCGATGCGGCTCCTGTTACTGCCCAGTAAATAATTCAGTGCTGCTGCTGAGCGCAGTGGCTCCTTCGCATGGAGGAGCCCCCGCTTGCTAGCGGGAGATGACTGATTTGAAAATAAAATGGGGTTATTTCCCTGTGCACTGATTTTCCTGGGCTTTCAGCGGCGCGGGAGGTGGGAAAGGCTGCAGGACCAGTCTCTGCGTGCACAAAAGCTGCTCCTTTCTCAATTCTGCTGCAGAACAGAGGTCCCATGCAGCTGCTGGCAATAAAAAATGGGCACACTGGACCTCTAAGATACCTCTGTGTCCTAGTGCTGCCTAAATGGTGTCCAACACATGGTCTTTCAAGCACGGTGCTCGCTGTGCCCACGACCGCAGTGGCCAGAGCCTTTGGGGCCAGGGCTGCACCCAGAGCCTGTGCAGGGGCTGGTGCCACCTGAGCTCATCCTTGGATCCGTTCCCGAGACGCTGCCTCGTCCCACCAGCTGCCCCGAGCCCTCGGAAGCGCTGGGAAAATCCAGGTCTGACTAATGCCGGCGTTATCTCTGCCCTGGATCGCGACGGTGTGTCCTCACATGGGCCCCGAGCTGGGCGGGAGCTTTTGTTTCGGCGGCTTTGGGGAATAATTGCATTCTTTTAATATCTGGAAACAAAGAATTACTGCGGGGGCCGCGACCGAATGGGAGGTGCTGTGGGGTGAACCAGGAGCGGCTGCAGCAGCAGCTCACAGGGAAGCGCCTGAACTGTCCCCGTGTGTCCCCCATCCCTCTCGGTGGGTCACACTGCTCCTCCCAACCCTTGGGGCCCAGGGTGGGCAAAACAGCCTCCTGGGGTTGGCACGGGGCCAGGCCTCTCCTCTTGCTGATTTTTGCCCTCAATTTGTGTTCTTTGTCCCCAAGAGCAGCTGGGTGCAGCGCGGCTCCTTGCAGCAGCCCCTGTCTCCTGTGTGCTGTGGCTCCGTGTCCCTGCTCTCCCCCTCGCTCCTGGCGGGATGCTGCGCTCCGCATCCCTGTCCATCCTCCTGCTCCATCCCAGCGCAGGGGGGGCGGGTGCATTTGCCTCCTTGGGCCCCCCCAGCTGCC